TACTACTACTACTACTACTACTACTACTACTACTACTACTACTACTACTACTACTACTACTACTACTATTGCTACTACTACCTCTCCTCCTCCTCTGTTGTTGGCTAGTTCATTCTCTTTTTTTCCTTCTCCTTCTTTCTCCTCCTCCCCACCTCCCCTTCCCCCTTTGATTTCTCCATCATCTGCCTTTTGCAAAGTTGCATCGAAGGTTTCTTTCTCGCCAGCAGCCATCTAAATCCAGCATGCACACTCTCCCTTTCCACCCCTATCTCCCCGCAGCGTTCCCCATCAGGCGGTGACCATCCTTTTGATTGATGATGATGATGATGACTGGCCGTGGCGGGCGGCGGGACTCACCACCACTTCCTCGAAGATACTCTGCAACTGCGCCTCCATCGGGACCGCCATGGTGCGACCCGAAGGTTTTAGTTCGCCACGATCCGGGCGGGAGAAAAAGCAACAGGATCGCTTCTTCCCCGTCGATGCTTTCCTTTCCGGAAGTGTTCAGGAAGGCGCTTCCTTTCACATCCGGGTCGCGGGTAGCTGGGAGAGGAATACTATTACTGCTGGTGGTGGTTGGGAGGGGGATGCTGTAGCCTTTATTGTGCAACGGATTGGAGGGTTAAGAACCTAGAGCTCCCATCTGCTTGCTTTAAAGCAGGGGTCTCCAACATTGGCAACTTAACGACTTGTAGACTTCGACTCCCATAATTCCTCAAGTGGCTGAGGAATTATGGGAGTTGAAGTCCACAAGTCGTTGGAGACCCCTGCTTTAAAGTTCAGTGAAGCGCGCCAAACTCGGATGAAAAGCATCTTCCAGCGGTGGAATTGGCGAGCTCCTCGATTTCCTAAAGAAATAGACACCGCATTACACCCCGATTGCACAACACACATTAGGAGTGACTCCAGTCATTGTTTCTCTGCTCCGATTTTCTTTAATAACAAAAAACGAGCAGTATTCCTCCAGAACTTAAATTTGTGGCCGAATCCAAACGTTTAAGACTGTTTATAAGTTTGCAAACTACACAGCCACCAATTGCACCAACTTGTTTGACTTCTCACAAGACATGACTAGAAAATAATGTGAAAAACCTGGAGGCCACTCTTGGATTTCTTGCCAGGGAAAGGGGGGAAAAAAACCCTAATGTTTTGATTTTGGAATTTGATGATTAACATCTGTTTTGATAACAAAAATATTGTGAAGTGTTGAAGTTATGCATGTTTCATTTGCATTTATAGTCCTTATGTAATGGTTTACATTTAAGATTAGAAGATTTTTGTGCTGTTAGTTTGAATATTGATTATTAGTATTTTTAGGGTTTTTTAAATGTACTTTTTGTCATTGAAATGTTCTTGAATGTTTTATTTGAGTATAAATGAAATTTGGAAATTTTGATAGGGAATTAAATGAGTAGATCATCTTTGATTAAAGAAATATTGTGAAATTTTAAAATTATGCATGTCCTATTTATTATTTAGATAAGTTAAACTTTTAAAGGAGGAGAAAAAGCATATAAAACTCAAAGAAGTAGTGCAAGACCGGAAGATGTGGAAGATTTTATGTGGCCCATAAAATCGCCTAAAATCAGACAAATGGATGATATCCATCATCAACATAGCATGGACAGTCATTTGCATAATGCACTGAGTTATTTTATAATATGAAAAGGTTATTTTTTTAACTTAATGTTTAATACTAAGGTGTCCACTGCATTTTTTACAAATATTAAAAAAGAAAAGATAAAAGGAACTTACTAGAAAGATACATAAATATGAGTTTTCTAATTTTACAGCACTCTTTAAGTGGTTTTACAGAGTCAGCATATTTTCCCCAACAATTTGAGTCTTCATTGTTCTGACCTCAGAAGGATGGAAGACTGAGTCAACTTTGAACCAGTCAGGATCAAACTCCTGCCAGTCAGCAGAATTAGCCTGCAATACTGCATTGTAAACACTATGCCACCCTAGCTCTTATATTTACAGGTAGTCCTTGAGTTACGACCACAATTCAGCCCAAAATTTATGCTGCTAAGTGAAACTTTTGCTAAGTGAGCTTTGCCCCATTTTATGACCTTTCTTTCTACATTTGTTAAGTGAATCACTGAAGTTAAATTAGTAACAAGCTTCTCCATTGACTTTGCTTGTCAGAAGATAACAAAAGCTGAACGCATGATCCTAGGACATTGCACCAATCGTAAATATGAACCAGTTGCCAAACATCTGAATTTTGATCACATGACCAAGGGGATGCTGCATCAGTTATAAGTGTGAAAAACGGTCATAAGTCACTTTTCCAGTGTTGTAACTTTGAACACTCACTAAATGAACTGTTGTAACTCGAGGACTACCGGTCCGACCTGCTTAGAAACCATGCTGTCAGTTTATAGTTGCCTTATTGTATGATATATTGTGTATAAGGCAGTGCTGGCAAAACCTTTTGGCACCAAGTGCTGAAACGGGAGTGTGCAAGCATGCACATGAGCACACATGACAAAACCCAGAAGAACAGCCACCTGGCGCACATGCACCGAGAATTTGATACGGTTTATGGCACATGCATGCGCACTGGCCAGCTGGACTTCATGCACACATGCGAGCCAGAAACTGGAAGACCAGCTGGCTGGTGCGCATGCATGCACCAGAAACTGGAAGAGCAGTTGCCCAGCGCATGCACCCACGTCAGGCGGCTGCTCTTCTGGTTTCCAGGGCTCCCGCACATGTAAAGACCAGGTGGCTGGTGCACTGGAAACTGGAAGAGCAATGGGTAATTGCTTGCATGCCTGGAGAGAAGGCTCTGCATGCCACTTCCACATGTGTGCCATAGGTTCACATCACAGGTATAGGGTAACCTTACTTGACTGGATTTGGTTAAACCTGTTTTGGAATACTATCCCAACCAATACTGTTTAGTTTTCCATTGCTGCATTCTCTTAAATTTTAAGTGCCAATGAGATGTTGTTGGTACAGGTAGTCCTCAATTTATAAGTTCATTTAGTGACCATTCAAAGTTATAACGGCGCTGAAAAAAGTGACTCATGACCGTTTCTCACACTTACAACTGTTGCAGCATCTCCATGGCCACGTGATCAAAATTCAGATGCTTGAGAACTGACTTGCAGTGTTTGCAGCGTCACCTTTTGTGATCTTCTGGCAAGCAAAATCAATAGGGAAGCCAGATTCACTTAAGAAATGTGTTACTAACATAACAACTGTAATGGTCGTAAAATGGAACAAAATTCACTTAACAAATGTCTTGGTTAGCAACATAAATTTTGAGCGCCATTGTGGTTGTAAGTCGAGGACTAGCCTTATTTAGTTTTCTTGAAGGAAAATATTTCTTCCAAAGTTGAGCAAAGTTTATTGTGACAGCCATGATGTAGCTCAGTAAATTGAGCAGTAATGTGAGCTTAATCAAGTGGCTTCTATTTGTTGGTTTAGATGGAATTGTAGTTGGAAGGCCGGAAAGATCAGTTTGGATCTGATAGGATTAGACTAAGAAAGGAGGTTCGTTTGACTGAGATAATATCCAAAAGCCAGGGAGGAGAAAGGGTGCAGTTTCCAATTTGTTAGATTTATTTCCTCCACAGCGTAAGATTTAATGCCAAGCATGAGGAATCAAAGTTACAGAATTTCGAAACAATTCTATTAGTGAGCTCATTTCTTTGGAATCTTATTTTCCCAGAAAGAATGTTTGCAAGAAGGATTTATGTGTATTTATGATAATTCAGTAACGTAATTTTTCATCTGCTGTTTGTGCTTACAGATATTGCCGATTCTCAGCCTTGGCACAAACTCTTAAAGTATGCAATACACCCACGTTTCCCACTGCTTGCACATGCACATACAACCAAAGAGGACAATAGCCGGGTCTGGCTTTGATCGCAGGAAGAAAAAAACAGAATGTCCATTGGCTGTTGTTGATTTAAAAAAAGAATTCCAGAAGTCACCCTTTGCATGCAACAGCACAGGAACCCAGCAGAATAGCACTGGATTAAAGAAGCACTCACTGCTTTTCCTACCAAGGTGGCGCAGTGGCTAAATGCAGCACTGCAGGCTACTGCTAGATCAGCAGTTCAGCGGTTCAAATCTCACCGGCT